TAGAGATGTGGCCATTGTTCTCCTGATCCTTATCCAGGAAGAGCCCCTGATCTCTTGGGATTTCAATCAGTCCTGCCCCTCATGATCCTTCATCCCTTGTGACCAAAAGCTATATTGTTCCTCAGAGCCCTGGTTCCCTTTTAACCAAAAGTCCTCTCTGTACTCGAACTGTGCCCCAGGGGTGGGTACGGGCAATGGAGCTGCCGAACAGTTTTCCATCCCACATCCAGTTCTAGCACAGGGGTCCCCGTAACCTCTTTCTGACCAGTTGCCAGGTCCCCTTACTGTCTCTGACTTGAAAGCTCCTGCTGCTTCTGTCACTACTACGTAGTCCCACCACTGGTGTTACATCCGCATGGGCTCTGAGCCAGCTTCCAGTCCCATGTCACACACATCTTTCTTTCCAACCTCCTAAGTTGTTTTGGGCTTGAAGAATGTCTCATTCTGACCTTTGTTGGCTCTGCCACTCCAAAATTCAGTTTGAGGTATTTTAAAGTTATTTGGAAGGGAACAGTGGAAGAATTTGCCTGAGTGCTTCCTCTACTCCACCATTTTGGCTCTGCCCCTAGAAGTCCCATGCAATGTCTTGATCCCCATTTTACAGCTGAGGAAACTGAGGTGGAGATCAAGTGACTTTCCTAGGGTCCCATAGGTAGGAGATGTCAGAGCCTGGAGCAGAAGTCCAGATGTTTTCATTCTAAGTCCCATGTTCATTTTGGCTACACCACACTGAAGAAATATTTATACACAACAAGATCAGTTCTGGGTTGTGTTTTCTATTAGCCAGATATCCTTTGATAGCAGAAGTGAAAAATAAACTTATCTAGAAATATAAAAAATTTATGATGAAAGAGAGACAAGGAGAAAGGAAGAAAGAAAGGATGAAGGGAAGGGAAGAGGGGAAGAAGAGACGGAAAGGAGAGAAAGTATTTATTAAGCACCTATGATGCTGGCCCTGGGGTACAGATATAAGCAAACAAGACAGTCCCTGCCCTTAAGGAGCTTAAGTTCTAGTGGGGGACGTCATCAAGTAAAAAGGAGTAGCTGAAAGGGAGATAGAAATGGTTTGGAAGTGAAGTAGACACCTGGATGGGACAAGATTAAGGGAAAGTTCACTTATCAAAACCCAGGCTGGGTCCATGGTAGAGTCAGTTGTCCAATAGGGAGCAGATAGTTCCATTATAGGTGAAAGCATCTGTTATGCACCTACCATTTGGCAGGAGTAGAATTAAGAACTAAGGAAACAGAGACAGAAACAAAGTAGTCTCTACCTACAAAGAGCTTTCATCCCAATAGAAAAACTCACATGAGGGCAGTGGTGCCAAGGAAAGGGAGTTTTGCTTTGAGGAATCACAGGTATGATGAGTAGAGCCATAAGGCAGTTGACTGTCATGAGCTTTCCAGGAATTATAGCAGGATTTATTTGATTACCATCCCCAAGATCCAGAGGTGGCGAGCAGAAGGAAAGTTAAAGAACATGGGGGCAGGTCAGATGGCAAGATGGCTTGGGGATATGGGGATGGCCAGATGGGATGGGAAGCTTGATCTGGGAACAGCTGAATATAGTAGGTTGAGTTAGTCTGCTTTCCCTCAAGAGCCAATGAGGATAGCTCAGCCTTCCGGGGGGTGAATTCCAAAGCTGTGTGTATGAACTTCCAGGTGCCGCGGGGAGGAGACATGCTGGACACAACATTTCTGGAAATCCTGTTATAAATAAGGAGAAGGGGGATGAGCAGAAAGGTGTAGATCTGACCTTCTCCTCTGTTGAGGATCTTGGTATTTTGTTGCTATGAAATACTTCTAGTATTTATTTAGTATTTTGTGTCATTAATAAAATAGCTTTTGGTAATGGCACAAGTACCATGATGAAAAATCAAGGATGCTAACATCTTCTATCATGTGATGATTCGATGATAATTCATGTCACATTTCCATGGCACTTGGTATATAGGATCTCATTTGGTCCTCCCCAAAACTTTGATTACTTAATCTCCATGAGTCACAGTTTTCTCATCTATAAAATAATAACATTTTATATGAAATAATTTCATTTGTTATATATGAAGAATCTGTGAGAAGGAAATGGCAAACCACCCCAGTATCTTTGCCAAGAGAGCCCCAAATGGGGTCACGAAGAGTCAGACATGAATGAAATAACTGAACAACAACATATACTAAATATAGCAATCTTATAATAATAGCTAATATTTACACAGAGACTTAAGGTTTTTAAAGTGCTTTACAAATATCTACTTTTATCCTCACAGCCACTCAAGGAGAAAGGCACTATTATTATCCCCATTTTGCAGATGAGGAAACTGAGGCTGAGAGCACTTAAGTGACTTGACTGGGTTTGGACTCAATTCTTCCTGGCTCTAAGTCCAGCACTCAATATACTGTATGTGACAACTATCTGTCCCCATATCTAACACCTCCTTCTCAGGGGTTTTGTGAGGATCAAATTAACTGATATAGCTAGATAGATAGATAGATAGATAGAGATATACACACACACACACACACACACACATATATATATATATACATACATACATATAAATGTACACATACATATAGATATAGATACAAATATAGAGCTCTGGAGCCCTTAAAGCTCTCTAGAAATGTTTGTTTTTATTACTGCTGATGCTTTTATTTCACCTATAGCAAACCGGGCATCACAGATGAGGAAATAAGAACAGCAGCCCCCATCTGGAGTGATTTGACAAACTTCACAAGGCACTTTCCTCACCACTCCAAAGAGATGTAGATACAGCTAGTATTATCCTCTTTTTACAAATGAGGAAACCGAGGCTCAGAGGTTAGCTTGTCCCATATCATCCAGCTAATAAGGAAGTTAGGAGTTGAATGGTCCAACTCCTCCATCAGTGAGCATTCTTTCTATTTGACAGCATCGTTTTACAGTTTCCTCTAGATTTCCACCCATTTAATCCACTGAGTAAAAGTATGTCCTTTAAAGACTCCTTGTTTTCCCTGCTTGTCTTGGTGACCTCCAGCACTCTGTACTTAAATTGTCTTTTAGTGCTTGGAAAGAAATGAATCACTAATCCCCTTCTAGGGACAGCCTTTAAATAGAGACTTCCCAACCCCTCCCCAGAACCAATACACCCAAAAAGATATAGCCTAGTAACCAGGGCAGGGAACCTGCAGGCTTGAGGCCACATGTGGTCTTTTAGGTCCTCAAGTGCAGCCCTTTGACTGAATCCAAACTTCACAGAATACATCCTTCTAGGTCCTCAAGTGCTGCCTTTTGAGTCTAAGTTCTACAGAATAAATCCTTTTATGAAGGGAATTTGTTCTGTGATGCCTGGATTCAGTCGAAGGGCTGCATATGAGGACCTAGACGGCCACATGTGGCCTAGAAGATCCAGCAGATTTCCCCAAGCTAAGATTTGTCTCCATTTCTCCTAGTATTTACTATAGAGAGGTCCCTGGCCCAAGCCAAGCCTCTAAGCTTGAGGTTAAAACATTCCTTTTAACTCACAGGTGCTTAACCTGGGATCCACAGACCCCTATGGAGTACAGATTTCTCCCCATAGGTGACAGACAGACTGCAAGAGGCTCAGGTGGGAAAAAGTTACATCTTTATTTCAAGGAAGTCGGTTTCCTTTATAGAACCTATGTTTTATTTTACGCATTTAAAAACATTATTTGAGAAGGGGGTCCACTGGCTGCACCTGACCATCAAACACGTCAATAATACACACACACACACACACACACACACACACACTCACTCACTCACTCACTCACTCTCCTGTTTTAATCTTGTTAAATCACTGATCAATCTAGGACCCTACCACCTATCTCAGGGACTCCTTCATGTGCTAGTAGAAACACCAGGGCACCCCTCCAACCCCCATTCCACATTCCATCCTTATCTATATTTATTGCTGAGCAACAAAATCATGGAATTTCCAGCTGTTTCCTTCAGTCCAGCACAAATCTTACTTGCCTTTCTCCCTCCAAAAATGGATTCTCAAAGCAAGAGGCTGAAAACAGACAGAGTGCATTATGGTTGTGGTAGCAAGGCAGATTGCAAGATGGCAGGGCATGAGAGGAATGGTTGGATGGGATGCAAATACGGTCTAGTCTAGGACCAGCTAGAGCAAATAATGGGTTAGGTGACTTTGCTCTCATTCACTGCCAATCTCAGCTCTAGTGCTGGGTTCCAAAGCTGGGAAGATGAACTCCTCCAATTCTGGCCAACAGCCTTAATATTGACTCTACAGTTGGCTTTGGACATGAGGACAGGACTGTGCCCCAATATGCATTTACGTCTAGCACTAAGCATTAATGGTCTTGAATCCAGCTAAAAAGTAATGTAAATGCTCCTATTTCACAGGAAGGAGAGATAAAGAAATGTATCTATGTGACTTTCTTCATGGGAAAGAGATCTTTGCATATTGGATGCCAGACGAAATGTGCCAAAACAGTGATTGTGAGTATCTCCCTCCTCACTCCCCATAATGGTTTTCATCCATTTAGTTCCATTCTACCTGCCTACATGCCAGTCACTGTGCTCTGCTTTGGTATTACAAAGATAAAAAAAAAATTCCTGCCCTCAAAGAGCTTCCATTTTAATAGGAAGAATACATGACTTTTCAAAGGGAATATCTCAGCCAATCCCTGAAGCAATAAGGTAGGAATTATTATCTTCATTTGGCAGAAGTAGAAACTTAGGCACAGGCAGACCGAGTGGCCTCTCTACATCAGTGACCACCCTAGCAGCTTGCTCAGAGACTGACTAAATCAAACACATGGCCAGCTGAGACAGTAAAAAGTTCATAGGTCAGATTTAGAGTACAAAGGGACCTTAGAGGCAATCCAGTCCAACCCTCCCATTTTACAGATCTGGAAAACTGAGGCCTTGGATGGGTCAACTTTCCCCAAAGTCAAATAAGGTCAGAGTCAGGATTTGGACCCTGGATCCCTTGCTCCGAATCTGACGTTCATAACACTGAGCCACGCTGACTTACCTATTTTTTCAGGACTCAGTTCGTATTCCTTGGCCATGGGAGTTGTGGAGGAATTTCTCACACCAGAGGTCCTAAGATCCCAGAGAATAAATCCTCCCACCTTGGTCTCTTTGACTGGAGGTCAATGAATCAGGAAGCAAACCTGGAAGATAAAAAGAGTAATTAGCATCAGGTGATAGACAGTTGCCTGGTAGAGAGCAATGCTGGGGAACCAAGGGGGAGATATACACATATGTAGGGTTTATACAGCCTCAGGGTGAGATTACTGGAGGCAAAAAAATCCCGTCAGAGGAGGCCACTCAGAGTTATTCAGTGGGTAATGAATTTCTCTGAGGTTGGTCTCATCACAATATCCTGGTGGGCCTGGAGATCTCCAATAAAGTAAAAACCTCCTTCAAAATAAAATCAGTGGGGGCAGCGAGGTGGCACAGGGGATACAGCACCAGCCTTGAAGTCAGGAGGACCTGAGTTCAAATCCAGCCTCAGACACTTGATACTTACTAGCTGTGTGACCTTGGGCAAGTCACTGAATCACATTGCCCAGTGCCACCCCCCCAAAAAAAAAGCAAATATATATATAAAATCAGTGACCCAGGTCTCATTCTGTTATGAACAAAATACATGCTGTGGGTCTGTCTCTATTTATACAACTCTATAGCCGCTTTTCTTTTACCACTAAGGTTCTTTTTCTTCCCCTGGGGAGAAGATGTTTCCTCCACACTCACAGTCTACCTTCTCCACAGAGTAAACATACCCTATTCCTATTTCTCCACTGTCCACCTTAGGCTGGATAATTTGTGGCCCATGAGATTGATATTAAAAAGCCCTACTTTTTCTCCCCTTAGGAACCTCTTCCTTTTTATTCTGTTTTTTGTTCTTTATTTCTTTTTTATTATTTCCTGACTTTCTCTTCTGTCTTCCTGACTCTCCCATCTTTTCTCGTGTTTGCTTTTTTGAGAAGCATAGATTTGGGGGGGGGGGGCGCGAGGCAATCGGGGTTAAGTGACTTGCCCAGGGTCACACAGCTAGTATCATGTGTCTGAGGTCACATTTGAACTCAAGTCCTCCTGACTCCAGGGCTGGTGGTCTCTCCACTGCGCCACCTAGTGGCCCTGAGAGGCATAGATTTTTTATTTTTCTTTTTTTGAGAACGAGTGTGCCTGGCTCAAGCTGGAAGTACAGCAGCCCCTCACAGGCCGGATCCCAGACTGATGGACACAGAAGCTTTGCCCTCCTTCACTTTTCTGACCGGGGCCAGTTTTCCCCTTCTTACACTTCTTGGCAGCCTCCTCCTCCTGGCGGCTCCCCATGCTGGTTTTGGATTTAGTTTGGACTCATCTTGGCTTTAGCCCTTCTCCAGCTTAGATCTGCAGAGCTCAGGCGCTCCACCAGCCTCAGCAGGGATTCCAGGCCCAAGCGACTCCATCTGGCAGGTTCATACATTTTGAGCTGACTTATGGATCAGCTAGTCCAAGTCCCCTCACCTTGAAGTTAAGGAACTGAGGCCCAGAGAAGTTACTACCATATTCAGCATCACACAGGTACCACGGGATCACACATACACCCCCACTCCTTCATGCCCAAATCCAAAGACACTGGACAAAACTGAGAGACAAAAGTATCACCCCTCTGATGACTTCTACCTGTGTGACCATGGGCAAGTCAGTTGGGCTCTTTCCGCCTCAGTTTCCTCAATTGTAAAATGAGAAATTTGGGCTGAATTGCCTCTGGAAGTCCCTTTGGGCTCTAGGGCTATCTATCATGACCCTATGAGATCCTAGGTTTGGACTAAGGACAAGGAGGCCAGAATCATCCCAACCTTCTCCATTTCAGACCCGAGAATGTTGTGCAGGCTTCTTCGGGCCTCAGTGCCAGCTCTGTCCTGGCAAAGCTGGGAATGCCTGCTTTGGGAATGGCATCTGTCTCGATGGAGTGAACGGGACTGGAGTGTGCGAGTGTGAGGGAGGCTTCAGTGGGACGGCCTGCGAGACATGCACGGAGGGCAGATATGGTTCCAACTGTGACCAAGGTGAGGAGGGCATGGGGACTTTCCTTCCCTGCCACAGGCGGTCTAGGTGACCTCAGAAATGACCTGTCCTTGAAGTGCCTTCGAGTCAGCTGACAAGCCATCAGCAAAGAAGTCAGCACCTTCTCCCCCAAGAAACAGGGGGAAAAGAATTCTTGGGCTGTCGTCATTTTCATAATAAAAGTCCGTGTCACACGCTCTTTGCATATGGCCAGTGTTTTCTCAATCTTTTTCCTTAAATTAAATAAGTAAACTTGCCAGGTACCCTCACGTACATACCAGCTTTATGTTAAACACCAGTCGCCGCCCTAATCATACTCTTATAATAAGAATCACTTACATTTTTATGACGAAACACAGTGAGTCATGATCAATAAAGGGCTGGCCACAAACCCAGGAATGTATGTAAATACCTGTGTATCTACTGCCTGCATGGCCAAGCCATTTAACTTCTAAGACCTCCAAGTTCTGAGCTGACCTACATTTATGGAGGGAATTTGTTCATCTGGGAGTCCCCTATGACAATTAAATCATAGATAAAGTCCGCAGCCCTATTTATATGGTAATTTCTATTTACCTCATCCTTTAAAGTTTGCAAATCCTTTTATGTATAACTTGCCAATTGTTACTCAGTCTTTTCAGTTGTCTCCCACTCTTCCTGACCCCATTCCGGGTTTTCATGCAAAGATACTAGGTGGTTTGCCGTTTACTTCTCCAGCTCATTTTCTTTTTTTAGGCAATTGGGGTTAAGTGACTTGCCCAGGGTCACACAGCTAGTGAGTGTTACGTGTCTGAGGTCATATTTGAACTCAGGTCCTCCTGACTTCAGGGCCAGTGCTCTATCCACTGTGCCACCTAGCTGCCCCCCAGCTCATTTTATAAATGAGGAAACTGAGACAAATAGAGTTAAGTAACTTGCCCAGGGTCACACAGCTAGTAAGTTTCACTGGATTCGAACTTAGGGCTTTCTAGACTACTCCATAGGCATATGGCTCTGTCATGCTTTCAGAGACTCTACTTTCTCTCTGGATGTAAGTATTATCTGGAGGCTTGTCACATTCTATGGTGACCCATGGTTCTCACACAAAGCCAAGGGATTCAGGAATGGAGAGCATGGTGGAAGCTAATGATAGTAATAAACAATACACATCTTGCTGGCCAGAGCTCATAGGATGGGGTTTTGCTTACTTTTTTCCTTTTTTCCTTTAGTATGCAGTTGTGTCCATGGACAATGCAGCCAGGGGCTGGATGGAGACGGATCCTGCGAATGTGACGTTGGCTGGAGGGGCGTGAAATGTGACAGCGGTGAGTCAGTCTGAAGTCTTTGAACAAAAACAGTGCAATCATCATCATCAAGAATCATTTATAATACACAAATCATAATATATATTTTATATATATTATTATATATAATTATATATAATATACAATATATAATATATAATTAGCATATGCAATTATAATTTATCATATAATTAATATAATAGAATCATAATTATATAATTATACAACACAGTAGTTATAAGTATCTAATATAATAGTTGTAATAATTTTATATCATATGAGTATTATAATTATATAAGTATCATTAAATTATATGACACAATAGTTATAATAATTACATAAAATGATTATTATAAGTACATAAACAATATTTTAATAATTCTATATAATGGTTAGTGTACTTATATAATTATCATTAAAATTATATAAAATAATTGTTATAATTATATGCAATATAATGTAGATTATAAATCTAAAATATAATAATATAATTGATCATTATTATTAATAGTAATACTAGATCTACGATCTCATTTATATAAGGAACTTAGTATAAAGAAAATTCCTTCTGCAGATGGAGATTTGCACCTTCTCTTTAACTTGGGGTTTTGGACAATGAAGCGATTTGCCCAGGACCACACAGTCAGTAGGGGTTCAAGACAGGACTTAAACCACCAGGCATCCCTGACTGCAAGGCCAGCTCTCTATCTACTACACCAGGCTGCCTGTAAAGATAATAATGTGCTTTATACACTCTGAGGGGAGTTCTAGAGGCATCTTTGTCCCCATTTTACAGATGGGGGAATTGAGACTAAGAGATATTAAGTGTCTTGCCCAGGGTCACATAGTATCAAATATCTGAGCTAGGATTTGAAATCATCTTCCTGACTCCTGTCCCAGTGCTCTAACCACTGTGCTCACCTCATTAGCTCCTTCCTGTTTCATACCCAGCTGATTCCTTTCAGGCTACTAAAGTACTCATATTCCTGGGCACAATGTTTGCTACGAATACTTGATGCTTACTATTAAAAAAAAAAGTCTATCTTTCCCTTCAGTAGTTTTTCGATGCTCCATCATGGAGTTGAGATGATCTGAGGTCCTTGGAGGTCAAACCAGCAAAATACAACTATTGGCAGATCCCTCAATGCTAAAAAGGGTTGGAGCTGAATGCAGCTAAGTTTGCTCATAGGGACCCTAGGGTGATGAATCTTTTTCAGCCACTGCAACTCCTGAAATATGGTTGCAATCCACCTTGGCAAAGAGTCTACTGACATTGAGGAAATCCTAGATCCTTGAATTAATCAAGTAATATAATGCTCATATGCCTTTAAAACTGAGGGAAGGGGCAGCTAGATGGCACAGTGCATAGAGCACCAGCCCTGGATTCAGAAAGACCTGAGTTCAAATCTGGCGTCAGACACTTGAGGCTAGTTGTGTGACCCTGGACAACTCACTTCACCCCACTGCCTCACCCTCCCCCCAAAAAAAAACTGAGGGAAAGTTTAAAAATGAGATAGTCTAATACCTGGCAGTTAGGTAGCTCGGTAGATAGCGTGCCGGGCCTGGAATCATCTCCCTAAGTTCAAATCCAGCCTTAGATATTTACTAGCTGGGTGACCCTGGGCAAGTTACTTAACCCTGTTTGCTTCAGTTTCCTTGTCTGTAAAATGAGCTGGAGAAGGAAATGGCAAACCGCTCTAGTATCGTTGCCAAGAAAACCCCAAATGGAGTCACAAACAGTTGGACACAACTGAAAAATAACCAAACAGCTGCTAATACCTGCATCTCACAGATAAAGAAAGGGAAGCCCAGAAATATTCAATGATTTGCCCAATATCAGACAAGAAGACAGTGGTGGACCTCGAAATAGACCTTAGGGTAAACTTTCCTAGCTTTTTTCCTGGATTTGAACCCAGATCTTCTGGGCTCCAAGTCCAAACCTCTTTTTTCTATTTTTAATTTATTATTAATATTTTGTTATCAAAGACAATGTCTAGAAACATTAAGTGCTAAAGAATTTGTTCATAGCATTGTTTTACCAAAGTTCCTAATGGACAGTAGATAGTTCATTTCCAAATGTATCCCTCAAGGGGGCAGCTAGGGGGCACGGTGGATAGAGCACTGGCCCTGGATTCAGGAAGACCTGAGTTCAAATCCAGCCTCAGACACATAACACTTACTAGCTGTGTGACCCTGGGCAAGTCACTTAATCCCCATTGCCCAACCAAAAAAAAACCCAAAAAAACCCAAAAGTATCCCTCACTTATTAATAATGAGGTGAAGAATCAATGCAATTACAAGAAACAAACAAAAATACTTGTAAAGAACAGAACATCTAACTTTCGTTCCAAATCTGTTGGTTGGAGTGGGTTGGTGCCATTAAGAACCAACTGTCCCCTCCTCAAGATAGGATTAGGGCTGTGTGCTGTCACATGCACTATCTCATTTGAGCCATGCCATGTGAGGTAGATACAACAAATGGGGGAGATAAACCCCATTTGACAAGTAAAGAAACAGGGCTGTGGAGTAACCCAATGGTTTTCCAAAGGTCATGACAGCCAATCAGAGAGAGATTTCTACTACCAGAATCCAGAGCTCCTGACCCCCTATCCCCATATTCTTTCCACCACACAATAACTTCTCTTGAACACTGGAGACATAACCTCTATTCACAAATATGGAAACCAGAAGCAGCCAAAATGATGATTGATATTTATATAGTGGGTTTCAGATTACAAAGCACTTTATTTACATTATCTCATTCAATGTTCACAATAACCTGGTGAGATAAGCTCTACAGGTAATATCACCTCCATTTTAAAGATGAAGAAACTGAGACTCAAGTGAAGTGATTTACCCATAGCCGCATAGAATAAATTTCAGAGGCATGATTTGAACTTACATCTTCCTCACTCCGAGATGGGTGATCCATCCACTTGGCCATCTTCCCTTTCTTACAACATGACGTTCAGTTCCAAGGAAAGATGCGCACAGTGGCAAGAGCTGGGAACAGAAGGAGATTGAAGATCATGGCTTTCAGGATTTTTGAGTTGCCCATTCTATGTGAGCCAGTGTACAGAGTGGAAGGAGTGCTGAGTTTGGAGTCAAAGGACCTCGATTTGAATCCTGTTTCCTACTTAGTAGATATCAGTTAACCTTTCTAGATCTCTCAATTTTCTTACCTTTAAAATGAAGGGAGATATATTAGATGGCCTCTGAGATCCCTATCAACTTTATATCTGGGATTCTATGAAGTTCAAAGAAGGGAAAGGATTTTTGAAGGGCCGGATTTTTGCCTAGACAATGGACGGCTCAGACTAAATCTCTTCAATCTCTAAATCTAGGCTAGCTCATTAAGAGAGTCTTGTGAGTACCTGCATCTAAAGCCTGAGATACACCAGGTAGGTCAGTTGTAAGCCAGAGGCCAGGGAATCTTCCAAAGATGAGGGAAATGCAGGGAGCTCAGGAGAGAATTTTGGCTGTCCCAGAAGCTCTGCATTCCTCACCTGTGCATGCATTGGGGAACCACCTCCATGGTCCAGGAGGAGCTCAGATCAAAGGATCATAGAACTAGAGCTAGACGTGACCTCAGAAGGCAACTAACCCAGCACTGTAATTTTACAGAAAAGGAAACTGAGTTTTAGGAAGGTTAAGTGACCTTGCATCAGTCATAGGATTATAGATATTAAGCTAGAAGGTAACCACAGGCTGTCAAGTCCAAAATTTTCATTTTATAGGTAAGGAAACTGAGGGCCATAGAGGCAAAGTGATGCCTCTTGTGGAGATTTGTTATGGCTCTATATACTGTTGACTTGGGGAAGACCCAGCCCTGGGCTATATAATAATCAATTGAATTTTACTGGACATGAAAGGGGCCAAAGTTTTCAAAGAGTCCAATCTTCCCAGAGGCCCAGTGGGGGAATTAATTTGTTCTCTTTTCTCAGAGATCAAGGAAGATGACTGTAACAACACTTGCCATACCAGTGCAAAGTAAGTATCTACCCAGGACTCTTTCTGAATGTGTCTTTGTGAGTGAGGAAATGATTTCTTCCAAGTGGTCTCCAGACCCTCCATTGTCCTAGTGAGTACAGGGCAGGGGGCACAGAACTGCTTGGGCTGGATTTAGTCACACTTGATGTGGACAGAATCAGTGCCATACTCCCAACTGCATTACAGTTCCTGAACACCATCCTGGCACAGGGTGTGTTCCTAGAGTTTGTTGTGAGGCTAAAATTAGGACATCCTAGAATTAGGCCACAAGCAGCTCCTCCTATCTCCTTCAGTAAGCTGCCATGTGGATTCATGACATTTAGAGTTTGAAAGGAACCAGAGGAATCCTCTAGTCCAGACCCTTCATTTCATAGATGAGGAAACTGACTTGTCCAAGGTCATACAAGCAGAAAATAGGATCATAGATCAAGCATTGGATGGGACCCCTGAGCCCAGCTAGTCCAAGCCCATCATTGTCGAGAGGAACTAGAGATCTAGAGCATGAATACTTGCCCAAGATTCCACAGCGAAGAAGAAACTGATTTGAGGTTCAGACTCAGGTCTTCTCTCTCCCACACAGAGCTCTTTCCACGGCAATGGGCCACCTTTCTGGGGCATTTGCAGGCAATATGATATATTGTCCCAGTTAAATCCAAATGGCACCAAAAACTTGCCGAAAATGGGAAATATCCCAATACACCCTCCTAATAAGCTTATTTTGCACCAACTCTGTGTAAGCAAGAAGTGTGGTGAGGGGGGAGATAGGGAGGGAGGAAGAGAAAGAGAAAAGGAGAGGGAGGAGGGAGGGGAAACCAGACAGACTTCTATTCAATTCCCTGACTCATAGCCTTAGAGTTAGAAAGGACCTCAGAGGCCACATCTAGTCCAACTCCTCCATTTTAAAGAAGAAGAAACTGAAACTCAGAAAAAAAAAATTGTGTGACTTGCCCAATGTCAAACAGGCAGTAAGAAGTAGAATCATTGACTTATGTCAGGTTTTCCTGGAGCTCCTTCATGGACATAGTATTTCAGTGTAGTAAAATGCAGGGGGTGGGGGGAGTGTTGAATCTGAAGTCTGAGGAGCTGGGTTCAAATCTCAACTCTGTCACTTACTGCCTATGTGACTTTGGGTAAGTCACTTACCTACTCTAAGCCTAGTTTTCTTTTTGGTAAAATGAAGGTGTGCCTCTAAGGCTATAATCCTGTGAGTTCAAGAGGGCTGAGAATGAATCTTTCATAAGTCAGAGCATAGAATAGAAAGGTTTCTGGTGTTCTCTTTCCCTCTCCTTCCCAGTTACTCTAGCTCTTTGCACCTTTCTTCCTCTTTGTCCCTCCCTCCTTCCCCCCCTCTCCCTCTTCCTCTTCTTCTCCCTCCTTCTCTCCCTCCCCCTCCCTTTCTTTCTCTTCTGAGATCCCTTCTACCCCTAGATAGGTGATCCTATGACACCTGTCTGTGCTTCAGTTTCCTCATCTGTAAAATGTGGGAGTTAGACTCAAAAGGTCCCTTCCTGCTCTGACTCACAAACCACCTGATCTGTGAGTTAAACAACCTTGTCTTAACTGGTTGGCAGTGGCTACCCACTGTTGCAAATTGACATCTCCCTGGTTTTAAGCATAGGACAACACTGCCAGGAGGCCCTGCTCATGCATATGTGTTGTTAATGCAAGGATTGTTGTTAGGGTTTTATTTGGGTTTTTGGTCTTTGTATGCCCCCACTCAACACAACGCCTGGCTCAGAGTGGGTGCTTCATAAATGCTCATTGATTGGTTTTCTGATCATGAAACTTTCCTCTCTTTTGTTTCTTAGCTGTCTACTCAATTCCGATGGTACAACTTACTGCAAGTGCGCGGCTGGTTTTCAGGGGAATGGGACCGTCTGCAGAGGCAAGTGGATTTCATTTCCTGCCTTTTCAAAGCCTCCTGGCTATGCATCCTTGAGTTTTGCTCTTTGGCACAAGGGACTAACGGAGATTTCTGGGGACTTTAAGAATTGGAGCCAATGAATTCACAGGATCACAGACCTTAAAGGCTGTCTAGTCCAGCCAGCCCCCTTACTTGACAGATGAGAAATTGAGGCTCAGAAATGCTGAGCAACTTGCCCATGGTCACACAGCTAGCAAGTGCCTGAGATGAGATTTGAATCCAGGTCTTCCTAGGGGCAGCAAGATGGCACAGTGGGTAGAGCACTGAACTTAGAGTCAGGAAGACCTGAGTTCAATCCCAGCCTCAGATACTTACTAGCTGTGCAACCCTGAGCAAGTTACTTAGTCTCTGCCTCAGTTTCCTCATCTGTAAAATGAGAATAATAATAGCACCTATCTCCTAGAGTTGTTAGAATTAAATGAGATAATATTTGTAAAGGACTTAGCACAGTGCCCGGCACATAGTAGGTGCTGTAAAATGCTAGCTGCTATTATTATTATTTTACTAGTTATTATTATTATTTATAAAGTTTGTCACACAGTGCCTGGCACATAGTAAACCCACCTTCAAGTCCAACATTCCATGCATTGAATCATGCTGCCTCTTTAGCCAAATGCACCACATGTAGCCTAATGTCACAAGGGCACCAGATTATGTTGCATTTATTGTGCCCATTCTGAGAGCTGCCATATGACACTGTTGACTCCTACTGACCTTGCAGGTCACTTAACAGTCCCAGATTCCTTTATTCAGCTCTATTCTCTGAAGCAACAGAAAACAAATCTATTTCCTTTTCCACATGACAGCCTACATAATATCTGAAAATAGGGATAGAGGGACCTTCAAAGATGTGTCCACTATCAGGAAATATTTTGGTCCCAGATGGAAGTGGAGTGGATGGGCCTGGACTGTGTCTGTTTTTATTTTCTGCTGGGTCGGCTAAGTTGACAAACTGGTGATCCATATGTAATCAAACTCTGTGTATTAGACTGTTCCTTTAGTGGGAATCCCTTTTTCAAGTCCACAAATATTTATTATGCACTTGCTGTGTGCAGGCCAGTGGATTAGGCACCAAGTCTACAAAGATAGATATGACAGAAGCCATGTTTTCAAGGACTACCATTTGAGGCAGGAAATTGGACATGTACATAAATAACTATGACACAGAGAAGGAAATGTGATACATGGAGAAGTCCAGGCAAAGCCCTGTAAGAAATCTGAGGGACAAGAGACCCTGTTCAATCAATAAAGGAGAAGAAGGAGGAAGAGAGAAGTGTTGGAGAAATTCCAAGGAGGAAACACCTGAGCTTTGTCTTTGAGGGAAAAAAAATAACCTGATCACCTCTCCTCTCCTCCCCAGCCCCAGTGTCTAGCCCCTGGAAATTACCTTACATTTAATTATTTACCTCATGTGTTAATATTCCTATATATTATTGTTATTAATATAATTTATATACTAATTGCCTTGCATGTAATCATCTACTTCATATATTAATATTACTACATACTAATAATTATTAATAGTATAATTAATGTATTATCTTGCATGCCATTATTTATATCCTATATTAATATCACTGCATATTAATTATTATTAATAATAGAATTACTATGTTAATTGCCTTATATTTATTATTTACCTTACATATTAATATTAACAACATATTAACAACATAATTAATACATTAATTACCTTACATTTAATTTGCTGTGTGTGCTATTTTTTTCCAATGGAATATAAATTTGCTGTTGGAATTATTATAAACTTAAATAGAAAAGCAGGTTCTACACAATAGAGATTCATGGTTTCACATGCTATCCTTACCTTCTATTCTCCAAAATAGATGAAAATGCTTATCTTATTTGGTATTTGTTCAGGTCAGATTGAAAAGAAAGGAAAGAGATAAATCCAATGACTATAGCAGTGTAAGCTCCCACATAATCCAAACTGAATGCTGAGAAATTATAAAGAATAAACTTGACCAGAAATCAGAGCCAATGAGATGACTCCTTCCCTCCCCCTCCTACCATCAGATGAGGAGTCAAAAGATATGGGTTCAAATCTTGGCCATACGAGGTTCTGCCTTTG